ACAGATGTAAAAAAGTTGGCAACGGCTGCATTCTGCGACTCCTCTTGGATGCCACGGTCGAAGAGCTGGTCCACGCGCTGCGCGCCGCCGTGGGCTGGGCCGCGGTTGGCACTGAACAGTCGGCGAGCCTCCTCCTCGGCGGCGCGCTGTTGGGAGGCGAAGTCCCCCTCGGACAGCGGACCTCCCCTCAGGCAGTCGTCCATGATGTCGCGGTACTGCTGGCGCGCCTGGTTCATGGCCTGCCGGTCGGTCTCTGCGCCGGCCTGGCCGCTGCGGCGCTGCTCGAGGAACAGCTCAGCCTCCTCGAAGCTGTTCTCCAGCTGCGTCTTTAGCTGGTTGCGGTAGGAGGCCACCAGTTGGCGGCGGATGCAGTCCACAGTGCGAGCGTCAAACCGGCACAGCAGGTCGTCGCGGCTGCGGGCGTGTCGCTCCTGCAGCTCGTTCCCGTCCAGTTCTCCCGCCGCGCCACTCAGCAGGTCGCTCAGCATCTGACGGTGCTGATCGCGAGCGTCCATCAGTGCCTTGTTGCAGCAGAGGTTGTCGCGCGCATCGGTCAGATCGTTCTTCGTCTTGTTGGCATGGAAAAACTGGTGCCGCCATGATTCAACGGCGTCAAACATCTGCTGCTTGAATTGGGCCCCTTGGCTACCAAGCATTTTCTTTTTCTGCTCGAACTCTGCGACGACCCTTTGCAGCGCGGTCTCGTGATGGCGTTGCAGCTCCTCCTCAGGAACGCCGGGGGAGCTGGTGTCAGCGTCGCACACCTGACGCATCTGCTCGGCGTACAGAATGCTGGCCTGGTCCACGCAGGTCCGGTGCTGCGCCTCTGACATGGTGTTTACCAGGCTGCGCGGCTCAGGCAGCTCGCCGCTGGCCATCACGCCGTACAGCGTCACAAAGTGCGTGACGAGGTCGGCCGCGGTTAGCGTCTCGCCTCCCGACTTCTTTACCAGCAAGTGTTCCGGCCTGAAGAGCAGTCGCGCCAGCCTCTCTACGTACAGGAGAAACTCGTCGTCGATATCCCGGGGACAGCCGGTGAACTCCGAGCTAGTGGCCACCATCTTGCCCGGGTGTGGAAGCAGATAGCAGTCGATGTCCGAGAAGCACCGACGCACGTGCTGGCGCATTTGTCGCAGCTCCTCGTGCGTGCCCGGCGGGCTGTCCAGCACTTCGCGCAGCACTTTTTGACCTCCCACGGTGCCGTACGGCGCTTCGGAGGGTGATTGCCAGTCGCGCACCAGGAACAGCAGTCGCTGGAAGGCGGTGCCGTGGCCCTCGGCGGCAGTCAGACTGCCGAACTCAGAGAACAGCTGCAGGTGCTGCAGATCGCTGGTGCCTATGTCTCTCGACACGTTATAGATCTGCACCGAGCTCATGAGGGCGCTGAGCGCGAACACAGTGGCGTTCTCAGCCACGGCCGTGCGGTCGTCGAAGGCGCCCTGCGTGTCCATCAGCACCACGGCCACCTGCTCGCCGGAGGGGAGCCGGACGAGCGTCGGCCGCGACCACATGTGGATGCCGACGGTGTGCCGTTGGCGGCCGCTGCGCCACGCGAAGCCCGTGAGCGGCTCGTCCGGCGCTCCCGTCCAGTCGGCCGCGCCGCCGCGCTCCAGGTACCGCAGCAGCAGGCTGAGCAGGAACGACTTGCCCTTGCGGAAGGCGCCGGCCACGGCCACCACCACCACGGGCAGGTGGCGCACGTCGTCCTGCAGCAGGACGGAGCGCAGCGCGGCCTCGTCCAGCTCCAGGCGACCCTCCGCGGACGGTACCAGGATGGGCACGGCGCGTCCGCCGGCCCCGGCCGCCTCTCCCGCTGTCGGCTGAAACAGGTGGGGCGGGTCAACAGCGGTCGGACCTCGGCTGCAGCAGCCATTTTATCTTTTTTTCAACAACGAATTTACATATATTTACTTTTTGTTCAATAACCAATATGGCCTACGACCATAATACGCTGTACCTATCATAGTCGTTTTTACGACGACCATCTGTAGGTACACATTTGGTGTAGATAAGGTGCAGATTTGGTGTAGTGGGTGTAGATAAGGTGCAGATTTGGTGTAGATTTGGAAATAAATCCATGGTATGAAGATATTTGTTGTAAAATAGATTTGGTGCAGATTTCGTCAAATAAGATGCATTCGCCACTCGCCAGATACCTACGAGTGAAAACGGCCAATATAGGCATGACCTGCGAGCAGAATATGTGCTGTGGTTATAAATGCAATACTGCACAATTGAATATTTCGGAAGGCGCATTATGAGCCATCTGATTTAAAAAGAACGTCATCCGGTTTTGGCTGGCCCTGACTACAGTGTATTTAATTATCAGCATGAATCCTTACAACCTTGAGAAGCATACAATTCACCTTTATTGCCTTTTTGAAGGTAAACTTCATACTATTCGACTTTCGAGCAACTGTCGGGAGAAATTAAAGCTATATACGTACTTTTTCAGGGATCGCCTCTGCCTTCTGTTATGTCTCACGGCTATGTTGAAAACGTTATCTAATGCAGCAGTTTTGTAGTCCTGCTAATTTTAACTACATGGTTTTGGGGTTCAACATTTTTCTTTATCTTCAAGCTGTAGCCGTGACGGCTCTTTCCGTAAAACTTCTTTTTGTTGAAAATGGCAAAACATGACCTCATTCTGACGTCATTTGTGGTCATTGGCCAGCCTATCGTATCTCTGGAAACAATGATCGAAAGATGTAAAATTAATGCCCGATGTGTCCTTTAAGTTTGGTGACGACTGACGATATCTGCAATAGTTTAGGAGATATCGAAAGAAAGGGAGATGGTGCCTTCGAAGAAAAGGGATGGGGATGTTGGCCCCCGGGGCGCGGGTTAAACTTCAATGATGGAAACTTTAAAAATTGGGCTGGCTGCATGGCGTTTGCCCAATCATGAGAGAAGCGGCGAGACGGGAGAACGCATCTTCCCCTCATCGGTCCCTTTAGACTCGGTCCCTTCAGGTTAGGCTAGGGTTATATCGACGGTTTGGCGAGGTTAAAGTTGGCGTCCCACTGTCTCAGTGTTGTTTGCCAGTAGCGGCGGAACACCTTGAATTAAGGGGGGGGGGGGGCGCTGACGACTTTTGGTCCCATTCTTTCCATGCAACGCCTATAGGGCTGATGTTAAAATGCCAAAAGCAAAGGGGGGCACGGTGCCCCGGTGCCCGTTCCGCCGCCTATACTGTTTGCTGACTGCTTCTGTCCCGGCGAGGGCTTAGTTCAAGTCCGGAGACGACCGTCTCGATAAGTTGAGTTCCTGTCCTTCCTTTTTAGAGCGGTGAAGTGCCCGCCTGCGTTTATCCATCTAACCCGCCACCCTCTAATCCCTTTCTACAGATCTAATCAAGACACCATTGAAAAAAGTGTTTCACCGTCTAATAAACTAGCATAAACCACCGTTTACCCTCGACAAACACACACTGATTTGCTCAATTCTCAAAGGTCCACAAAGACCTGTTATTCACTCAACGTACCTACATACCAATGTATTGGTCTTAATGCATGCGAACATACCTGAGGAAGCATGATGGTCGCTATGCGCCGCTGAGGTACCCCGACGCAGCGTGCCGGCGTCACTTCGACGGCGGACCTGGGACGACTGGAGTCGAGAGCAGCCTGACGGCACGGCCCCCCGTCTCTACGAGCGGGCGCTATCTGAGTCGTCCGCGGCCCCGCTGAGTTGATGCAAACGTCCCGGGTGACTCAGGCCGCCGCTAGATAGCGGCTGCAGGGGCCGGGGACAGCCGGGAAATCCCGGCGGGCCCGCTACAGGGGGGGGGGGGGTACGGGACCCCTGCCAGCTCACCGGGACTCACTGCTTCACTCGGTTTCAGTTTTGTTTGTTGATAAGACGGCTGCCAAGAGCCAAGCGCCCACTGGCCACTGCACTCTCCTAGCAACATGAATCGTTCGCCACCTATCGCGACAAAAGTGGTAAGTGTCCACTGACCCACCCACTCCACTCCACACCACTTATCGCACTCAATCATGTGACAGAAGTACTGGCAAGTGGCAACATTATACCAGTATAAAACATTCCGGTACGCTATACGTGCGACCAAGCTACGATCCAATGTCACGAGCCGACGATGACGATAGTAACGTATGTTATATATAACATACAGTTATATGTTTGCAGAAGCTGGCGGCGAGAAGTCTGTTGGCAGCGTCAGCGTTCTCGAAAGCTGGGCCAATTTCAATTCTCGGGACTCGGGCCAGTCCCGTATAATTATATATAGTTCTGGGGAGTCGGGACATCCCCGTCATCCCCATCCCTGCAGTGTAACTGTCCCGTATTTCTGGAGCCACTTCTGGTTCCCGTTTACAGTCCTTGGGACAGTCTCGACTCTCATGCAGTCCTCGGGAGGCTCGGCCCCTGTGGTTTTTGGTTCAGTCCCGAAGTCTCGGGATGATTTTGTAGTCCTCGGCGTCGGCGGCTGGAGCGGCGTCTCATCAGCGGGCCGTGCTGAATGTTGAACGTCTAACACGATAGGCTCGATAGTCCAATGTGAGGGTAAGGGCAGTGTCAATGTCCAATGCCAGTGCATGCCTGCGTTGACAAAACAAGCAGACCACAGATATAGGGTTTGGTGTGCCTTTAGAGGTCGCTTTTACATACACATGTGTATGTAAAAGCGACCTCTTGACACTACACAGTATGTAAGTAGGTACGTAAGGCGAAGAATAGATATTCAGCAATGTTTAATTTGGTCCTTTTTGTGGTATCAAAATCCAGTTTTTAGTGATTGTTCATCCTCGCCGCCTGTTCATGGCCTAACAGTTATCGCAACGTCTCCAGAAAAAAAGCATTGGAGCATGTACTTACCTACTACCTACTTAACGTACCCACACAAGACTCGTTTAAACCTCAGATACTGCAACTTCACGATCCCTTACACTAAGGTACCTAGGTACACAACACACTCATTCCAAGCCGTTCAAAGCGCACACATGACATTACTATTACGAAGACGAACAGTCATATTCGTTCTCGGAATCTCGGTATAATGGTGAATGACGCGAAAACAACAGCTTTCATAGTCCCTATGCTGATGGTGATAATGCTGATGATTATTGGATGTAACTACGGCTAGCTTAGTTGCCGGAGCGTTTGAATAAAGTCTTCAGCTGCTGGACAGACTCGCGGCGAATCTGAGGCAGGAACGCCAGCGCGAAGACGGAATCCAGCATGAAATTAAGCGCCTCGTAGTTATTTGCGACGGCTCGGAAGATCTGCAACGAAGATATGAAAATATATCAATGCGTGCATATGCGTCGAACTTTTTACGTGGTATGTATTATGTATGTACCCTTTTATGCACGATGGACTTTGACGTGTGCTTCAGGCTGATGGATTATGGCCTTAGATCAAATTTGAGGACACAGATAGTGAAAGTTCTGACCAGCTCCGTGGTGGGATCTCAGTCAGCTTTTATTTGAGCTGATTTGTTTCGATTTAGGCAATAGGTATTCACCTATTTACGGAAACACTGTCATAAGCTATCGAATGTAATCTCTATGTGTCAAGCTAAGGAACTATGACACCATACATCACGAAACACAGAATAATTATGTAGTTATAAGTAATAATAAATCAGTTAATCAATATTAGATTAAAGTTATAATTAGGTATAATAATATAGTTATTATGTAGTTACCTATAGTAAGTTACGGTGATCTCACCTTTTTCGACCTAGCTCAACGAAAATGGACGATAGGCCCATATTACAAATAAGGGAACTTTTAATCGGACGCCATTTAATTGCGTCCCAGAAAAGCTATTTCTGGCACCTAAAAGCTGACTCGCCCCAAAATTGGTCCTCAGCACCTATTTGGTGGATACCAGCACCAATCATGGAAAATGACCTTAATTAGCTGTTTCTGGCACCTATTCATCGGTACGCCTTACTCTTTTTTCTGAATCTGGCACCTAAATGCTGAGCGTAGCACCAATCTAGTAGAAAAATGAACTACTGGCTGGTAGAATCATGTTGTTCTGGTATAATGACCCCTTGAGTCTAGCCTAAAGGTTGCCAGTGCAGCTACACTCTAAGACAGCCCCGTAGTGATCTCAGCATTGTATATGACGTTTAAGTAAGCAAATAATATTGATTTGTTTGAAAAAAACAATGTCATTTAAATATTTAAAAGTATTTATTTGTAATGCTTAAAGGGAAACATTTTTGTGAGTAATTGTCTCGATTTTGACCATTAAAACGGGTATTGTATTTTTTGACGTCATCAAATAGCTCCAAAAAAGAAAAGTACTGTTTTCATTCCGTTCAAGGCCGCTGAAGAAACGCGGGATCTTGCGTGGGACATTGTCCGTTGTTTGCCGCGCAGAGTTGTGCCGTGGTTGTGCCTTTTTCATCCGTTTCTTACTTATGTCATATGTGTGCGTGAAGCTTTGATTTTGTTTTTGGTTATTGTGTGGCCGGTCAGTCAAACGCCCCTGTAGAAACCGGATGCTGCGTTTGATCGAGATGGAGTCAGACGATGATTGCAGGCCAGAAAGCTAATAATATTGAAAAGAGGGCCGGTTGCGTGGCATGTCTGTTCAGAGTTGACATTTTGCTCTACTCCAGTTTATGACCTGAGAGCCTGGCTGGAAGTGACGGATCCAAACTTTTCACGTTAAAATGGCTGAGGGTGCAATAATCTCTAGTCTCTACATAGCGGGCTGGTATAGGAGCGTCTTGCTATGCTGCACACCATAGCTGGCTAGTGATTCTCTTTTGGCTAGAAATGGCATTAATCATTATCTCCACTGGCGAAAATGGCACTTGACATCACCGAATGCAACGTTCATGTTGTTAGGATACATAAAATCAGGAAGATTACTTGAATTAGGTAGGCAAACGTGGAATAAAATAGGTGCTGGATGTTTTGGTTTTGGTGCTGAATCAGCAAACAGCAAATACGGAGTTCAACTAGACGATCTGGCAACTTTAGGCTGTGTGGAAGCAATTAGGTGTCAGATTCAGATATTAGGGTCGAATAAGCATTTTGGGGCTGATCAGCAATTAGGTGCCAGAAACAGCTTTTTAGGGACCAGAAACAAATATTCCCCCTTTTAATCATTGATACCTACCTATTACCTTTTTGTATGTGCGCACGGCACATATTAACTGATTTGATTATTACTTTTTTGGCATTTGATTAAAACCCTTTATGATTGTTCGTTAGGATTGAATTAAATACCCACTGCTCGATTTTAATTCGGGGTAGGTATAGAGATGAGCAATTTAGATTTACGAGGTAGTTGCCGTTAACCATCGCCGCGGCCAAGCAGGAGTTCAGACCCGATTGTGCAGTGCTCATGTCTTTTGCGGGTGACGTACCTGGACGCTGTCGTTTCTCTGGTCGTACACGTATTGGGCGATGAAGAGGGCCATCTGAAGACAGTTGGTGACGAGGTAGGACAGGCCCATGGCGCAGAGAAGCAATTCCAGCCGGTGGCCGGCCTCCTGTCGTTTCCGTCGCCGCTGCTGCTGCGGCGACGCTCCCTCTAGGCAGCTGTCACTGACCACCGACAGCCGAGGCTGCTGCGGCTGCTGCTGTTGCTGCTGTTGCGGCATCCCCTCCTGGCAGCCGTCACTGACCACCGAAAGTCTCGGCTGCTGCTGCTGCTGCTGTGTCGTCCCCTCCTGGCAAGAGTCGCTGACTATCGACACCCGCGGCTGCTGCTGTGGATCTCCCCCCGGACAGCCTTCACTGGCCGCCGACTGCCCCGGTGCTGCGGCCGGCCGGCCCGGCTCGTCAGACGCGGGGCGCGGCGTGGCGCTGATGCGCCGCTCCCGGCGTCTGATGGCAGCGATGATGTAGCCGTTGCAGTAGAGCAGGAGTCCGGTGGGCGTCCAGCGCGCCAGCAGCTGCAGCGCCCACTGGTAGGCGGTCCACGCGTGGCCCAGCTGCGCCCTGCCGCCGCTCAGCGCCACCTCAAAGAACTGGCGGCCGCCGGGGCAGTGGCGCACCACCCGGTACCCCAGCACCAGCGGCGCGTGCATGGCCAGCGCCACGAGCAGCGTGGCGGCGACGCGCAGCAGAAGGCGCCGGCGCCGGCGGCGGGCCGGCCGGCGCCGCGGCGCGCACACCGCCAGGTAGCGGTCCAGCGTCATCCACAGCTGGACGCCCATGCTGAACACGATCAGCGAGTTGGCCAGCGGCAGAAAGGCGACACGCCAAACGGCCGACAGGTGCGAGCGTACCAGGAACGAGCGGTCGCCGCAGAGCACCGTGGGCAGAGCCGAGTCGGCCAGCATGGAGGCGCCGCTCAAGGCCAGCACGGCGCAGTCGGACACCATCAGGCAGCGCAGATACGTGTACACGTCGGCCGCCTGGAAGCAGGCGCGCCGCAGCGTCACCAGCAGCGCCAGGCTGCACGCGATCCCGGCCGCCGAGATGGTCGGGTAGCAGTACCGGTAGCTGATCACGTTGATCCGGACCTGTGTGTCCATCGAGGTCCACGAGCAGTTCTCGGACGGGCTGCACGAATCCGTCAGCAGCGTCATATCGGAGCTGCCGGGAGAGGTGGCTCCGGTGACATCGGTCGGCCGGGCCCGCCGCGGTGCGGTGAGCGAGGCGCGACCGCAGCTGGTTCGGCCGTGGTCGCCGCTGGTGTGGGCCGTCCGGGCGGATATTTTGGCGCCGGTGGGATGTACGCAGCCCGGTCCGGGTCAGATAGCGCCCCGGCTGCGTCGCGCGCCCCGATTGGCGACCGACGGCACAACAGGTGTGAAGAGACAACATTGCAGGCCGGGGGCGACATCGGCAGACATGCGACGAGCGTACGCAGACCACAGGCCCGGCCGTCCAAAACAGCACCGGTTGGCTCGGTGCTCCCAACGTATAGCAGCTCACTGCACACTGCACATTGCATTGGACATGTCTCAAGATTGCTTTTCTCGGCTGTTTCGAATCTGAACTGATGAGACGTTACCCCTAGATGAAGTTTTCTCAAGTTTTTCCTCAATATGCTCTATGTATAGTTGTATGCCTGTACTTATGCTTCATCGCATTGGCCTCCGCCTCCATGACACATCTGCTGTGTTTAAGCATCCATAAGACAGAAACAAGTGTGGCATTGCTTAGTCGGTTGGTTCGCTGGTCGTTTCGCTGCTTTGGATAACACACAGCCTTGCTGTCTAGTGGCTATCAACTGCAAGAGGCGGGAAAGGCGTTCGTGCCTCTGCCCTCTGAACGTCCGCGGCTATCGGCCAACATCCGTCCCCCCTCGCCTCACATCACTGCACTGGCTCACACTCGTCCGGTCCACAGCCGTCCACCGCAGGCCGCATAGCTGTCCATCCGTCCATCCGGTCGAGGGAGGGGGGGGGGGGAGGCGTATCTTGTAACTACCGCAAACATCCGCTCGGACCCAGACCGAGCACGCTACAAATTGAACTTGGTGAGGAAATTCCGGTCAGACTTAGTTTATTTGCCTGCGTCAAAAGATGCATAGACTAGCTTACCGATAAATGATGCGACTTTCAAGGCACTACATCTTAAATTGATCTTGTGCAAAATTTGAGGATCATGCCGTTCAAAGTGTCTCTTTAGTGCATGGACAATGCTGTTCGACTATACATACATATGTTCAAGGAACCGCCCGCGACTCTTTCTTGAAGGTCATGTCCTTGTCATTCATGGTCGTGAACAAGCATTGCATCAGCAAGTGTCCCTCTTATCTGCTCGCTCACCGGGCAGGGTTCGACAAGAGGCCGGGACATCACAGGCTCCCCCTTTGAGCACCGAGCAGTCGACTCTCAATGAGCGACTGAGAGCGGGCTGCTGACGCCCGGTCGGTGCGGAACAATGTCACGTCTCATGAGGTACCGCATACCGCCGGGGTCTCAGCAGCCGGCGGCCGACCCTGACCGAACTGACACGGTCCCGGGGCCTCCCGGCAGCCTAATATTGACAGCCTGTTATGCAAAAATTGACGCTGCTCACCGACGCAACCCTTCCATTGCCGGTCACACTGGGAGGCGGGAGGCAGTGGAGGAGCAGCAGGTCAGGAGACCATTGGCCGGCCCGGCACCACACTGGTCCTGCTCGACACCAGTAATTTGGGAGCGGACGCGCAAATTCGTTGACAATATGGGCAAACATCGACGAGATATCGGGGGGCGGTGGCCAAACATGGCTCGATACCAAGCCCGATACCGGCGAATCCCGGTACACCCACGTCGGCGACGGACCGATCAAGCCGGGCCGGGTCAGTTTTGACATATTATCACACTGAACTAAATGGGCAGCCTGATAGCAAAAATAGATTATCGGAGAAGATATTCTTCAGGTACCTAAAGGTATTTTAGGTGCGATAATCACTTGTGATGTTAATAGAAATAAAATGATAGGTAAGGTACCAGTATAACGCCTTTTGGGGCGACTAACGGAGCGAGCGAGAGGGTGGGCCTTGCAGTGCGAAATTTCGAGGGGGTACCTCCAACTGACTTGTGCACGGCACCTTACTAACCGGTCTCTAGCGATGTGCCAACTTTGAGCATAATTGGTCCAGCCGTTCTCGAGATCTGGAAGCGGCACGCTGCACGTGCGCACGTGCAAAATGGGTCCCAACTGACTTGTGCACGGCACCCTACTAACTGGTCCCTAACCGTGTACTAAATTTGAGCGCCATCGGTCGAGCCGTTCTCGAGATCTGGAAACGACCCCTGCACGTGCGCACGTGCAGCAGCACCCCAACTCCGGCACATGGATATGCATTGCCTAGTGGGTGCCTACCTACATGCCAACTTTCAGCGCAATCGGCCAAGTAGTTACCGAGATATTGCAACAATTACAAAACTGACACCTCTTCGTTTTGCACGTGGCACGTGCATAAGAGGTCACCCACATGCATCGAGAATAGTCCAATACTTAGTAGAAGGAATGAAGCTACCCTGCAAAAATTACCGCGTGTAAATCGGTCAAGTCGTTGCTGAGATATAAGCCTCGCAAAAGCGTCCGCACGGCCGGCCGGCCGGCCGGCCGCTCATACTCAGAAATTTCCGTTAATCTAAGGAAAGACTACGCTCGCTTCGCTCGCTCCGTAATCATTGCAACCAGTATAGCGCCTTTTGGGGCGACTAACGGAGCGAGCGAGGGGTGAGTCTTGCACGTGCGAAATTTCGAGGGGGTACCTCCAACTGACTTGTGCACGGCACCCTACTGACCGGTTTCTAGCGATGTGCCAAATTTGAGCACAATCGGCCCAGCCGTTCTCGAGATCTGGGAGCGGCACCCTGCACGTGCGTACGTGCAAAATGGGTCCCAACTGACTTGTGCACGGCACCCTACTAACTGGTCCCTAGCCGTGTACCAAATTTGAGCGCAATCGGTCGAGCCGTTCACGAGATCTGGAAACGACCCCTGCACGTGCGCGCGTGCAGCAGCACCCCAACTCTGGCACATGAATATGCAGTGCCTAGTGGGTGCCTACCGACATGCCAACTTTCAGCGCAATAGGCCAAGTAGTTACCGAGATATTGCAACAATTACAAAACTGACACCTCTTCGCATTGCACGTGGCACGTGCATAAGGGGTCACCCAAATGCATCGGGAATAGTCCAATACTTGGTAGAAGGAATGAAGCTACCCTACAAAAATTACCGCATGTAAATCGGTCAAGTGGTTGCTGAGATATAAGCCTCGCAAAAGCGTCCACACGGCCGGCCGCTCATACTCAGAAATTTCCGTTAAAGGGACTATCCCACCTTTAACATTGGGTTTGAGTTGAGATAGCCAAGTTTGCGGCGAGGTTCAGAAACCACTATCTATCTAGGTTGCAAACCCCGCGGCCTCTTGGTGTTGAAGAAATTCGTTCCCTTCATTTGAAAATGGGCCTTGTACAAGGCCCTATCTTCAACATGGAGCGACCGTTAGTGTGACGTCACCTCGTTTAGTCATTCTGATTTAAATGGGTTTGTTCGTTGAAAAATAGCTTAAAACTTGGTCTGAACTTTGTTGTGGTGCCTACAGAGTAAAAAGAATCAGCTTTATGGCAGTAATGTGGCCTGGGGAAGGACATAATTTTGGGCTGTGACGTCACATATTTGAAAGTTTGTGTTTGGAATACGGGAAGCCTAAGATGTTTAATGAAAAATAAATGCCAGAACCGTGTTCCTGGTCATCCAATCTACAAAGTCGGGCACAATTTAACTGGTTTTAACAACATTTTAGAAGGTGGGATAGTCCCTTTAATCTAAGGAAAGACTACACTGTAAACCAAATTGACGAGTCTTGTGTAATATAACCAATCATCTCTTGGTATGTTTACCAACTGATACTTTTCAAACAAGCCGTTGTCTGGTTCATTGCTTGTCAGATGACAACTACGAGTCAATAGTTACTATGCACACCAACTTCTCAGTATCCAGACCAACTCTACATTTGTTTCAACGTTTGTTTCTTAACCAGTTTTGGAAACTTGTTGCCGCATGGTTATTTAACCGGCGCCTAACTTGTACTGGTCAGCTGGTCAGCATACACATGGTCAGCTGCGCCCGTGACGTCAGACTTGGCGGACCAATCAGCGGTCGCCGTCCGGCCCCGGCGCGGCGGTTTCAAACCGTTCAAACCAGCAGTTGTCGCGCGGCCGCCGTGCAGCATGGATCAGCGACGAGGGCTGTTCCAGCATTTGTGCAGTAAAAAGTGAAATATGTGAACTGTGGTGTTCGTGCTGTGAGTGAGGCCCGCTCTGGCCTGTGGGACGCACTAATCGTGCCTATACCCGCGGTCGAGACGCCTCCCTTCCCCTGCGCGCGCAATGTAAGTGGGCCAGACCTTTGCATGCACATGTGAGCAGATGTTTTGCGGTCGGTGTTTTTTTATATATATAAATACATTTATTTGCCTTTAATTCAACTCTTTGTATTTTTAACTTAACTGATGGACATATATGGGCTGTAAAAGCTAATCTGGTTGGCGATCATGCTTTATTCGAATTATCTGCGTGATCGTGCAACTGCCATGATTGTTATGGTCAATGTGGAAATATTCGTCATACGGGCATGTTATACTTCTGGCTTGATGCGATGCACAAAACCATGTTCTTCCACATACGCAGCAGGTCTTGCTTCAAAGACTTATATGCTGACGGTGCACGATAGGTATACCTTATACCTCATGCATTTACCACATCCATTCGAAAATATGCACTTGGAATTGTCTCCAGTCAATAGTATTAATTACATACTACGTGATGTAGGTACGTGACCGTAATAAATACTAATGATTCCAGAAACTTCCGAATGGATGTGGTGTATGCATTCATCGATTATATAACCCATCAGTATTTCGTTTCTTGTCAGCGCAAGCCTTTGAGCAATAACTGATGCCAGTCATGATTTTGTGCACCACTTCCAGCCAAAAAATGACCTGTCCGTATAGAAAATATTTCCTGAATCAGTATCGTGGCAATTGAAAACGAACGCGAATCGTAAGTTCTTAAGGTTATCAACGCAAACAAAGCGATTGTAAGGAAGAACAAGTTCGAACTGAGCGTTAGTACACTTACTTGTTGACAATTTGTAAACTAGCAATGCCCAGTCAAAGGCTAGTTCATCAACAAACCAGGGGTTGTTGAACCGACAAGGAAACGGCTATGCCTATCCAGAAGTTGGTAGGTTCACAAGGCCCAGACTAGTACTCAACAAGGTGACGCCTATGCGAATTGGAACCAAACTTGTAGACAAACTGTTAGTTTGTTGGCCAACACGCCTGGGGTTGGTGAATCGACAAGGTGACGCCTATGCGAATTGGAACCAAACTTGTAGACAAACTGTTAGTTTGTTGGCCAACAAGCCTGGGGCTGGTGAATCGACAAGGTGACGCCTATGCGAATTAGAACCAAACTTGTAGACAAACTGTTAGTTTGTTAGCCAACAAGCCTGGGGCTGGTGAATCGACAAGGTGACGCCTATGCGAATTGGAACCAAACTTGTAACAAGGAGCCAACTTGTAGATTTGGTTTACAGTGTACGCTCGCTTCGCTCGCTCCGTAATAAGAATGAATAGGTAGGTGTAATTGCAATAAGAATGAATAATAAACTTTTTGCTAATAACTAAAAGAATCCGAAATAAATACATTAAAAATGAAATTAAAGAATATGAAAATAATAGAAACAGCAGAATGATGTTATCCTAATCGTAAATGTTGTCGTTGCATATTTGATTTTAACTTATGCTATTTAGGTATACGTTCTGCTTGAAGACGTTATGCGTAGTCATCTTTCAAGATTTGACATGAAACTGAAACGTAGGTAAGTTCTTTTTAATGTATTATTATCAATACTCAATGTTCTCAAAAGCGACACAGTCATTTCAGTTCAGCACCATTGCTTGAGCAGAGTGCAAACATACAAAGCAGTCAAAACACGTATTTAAATTCAACACGTTGTCATGGATCCTAATACATAGTTAGGTACTTAATGATATTCAAAATATTTCAGATGTCTCGTTCAGTACCTATTGTCTGAGTCTGATATCCCAACGCATGCACATATCTAATCAGGATTTAAAAGATTTGTCCGTAAACGGTTGATAGGCACACTAGTGATTCGTCAAGCTTCTAAGATCTTAAAATAACGTATGAAAAAGCGCGTCATCTTCAACTAACTACAAGAATAGCCAAAGAATAGCAATAGCAAATCTACATACAACCCTTCTAAATCCTACGTTCTCATGTGACAGTAAGAAAAGAGAAGTTCTAAAACAAACAACTCGAGTCGATGTGGAATGAAAGTTTACCTTAAAACGTTTCATATCCGCTTTAGCTCACCTGCGGGGGATATCTGGCACTGTCTTATTGCTCCCTCGACAATCAGGCCAGCCTAGGGGCTCTCGGAACGAACGAGGCCCAGCATACTTCCCCTGCCCCTCCAATTCGACGGACATTCAAGGTAGCCCACCAAGTCAATCGGGACTTACATATTTAGCACTTTCACACCACCTCACACGGAATTCCAGGGCTGTCTCATCACCTAAAACGGGACGCCGGGCCGCACCCCAGCAGCTCAGACGAGCGCGACTGTCCCAGTAGCTCAGACGGGGCTCTCTTCTGTGCGCTGGTCCGCAGGACTCTCAGCTGTACCCTGTCCCCGAGTACACTGCTCCGTGCCCTGTCCCCCAGTGCCCTCCTCCGTGTCCTCGCCCCCGGCACTCTCCTCTGCACGCTGCTCTACAGAGCTCTCCTCTGCACGCTGCTCCAGCAGGGGCGTCAGTGCGGCGGCGCCCTCAGCTGTGACCGGGGCGGCCGCCGGCGTCTGGGGCGCGGCCGCGGCAGACGGCGGCAGGGAGGCCATCAGCGCGCTGAGCAGACTGTTAGAGCGCAACGAGGCGCCCATCGAGTGGATGCCGCGTACCTCGCCGAGGTGCGGCGCCGGGGCGCCGGCCTCTGCCCCCGCCCCGTCCGCGTGGGGGCCACCGACCGCCAACATCGAACTCATGTTCATCATCAGGTTCATGGTCATCTTGGAGTGTTCGGGCACAAAGACGGCGTCACGTTGCAGGATGCCGGCGTCGACCAGAGCCTGCCGGATGTCCTCGGCCTCCTTGGCGATCAGCTTGGAGGTCTGTCGCAGTCCGGCCACCACCTCCTTGGACTTGAGCGCCTTCTGTAGGAAGTTGAGCACGAGCACCCAGTAGCCGAGGCCGATCAGCACCCAGAGCATGACAAACACCTTGTAGACGGTGGTCCAGGCGTCGTCGTTCGCGATCGCTGCGGGCGGGGTACGTGAAAGCGTCTACACACATATTAAATCGACGCACGAACTTATGCAGATGTTAAATCGCATGACAAACTCTTATGGTATACGAGCCATGTCACATGGCTCGTATGCCATAAGAGTGTCATGCGATGGTTCACATGGCATGGCATGCCATGTGAACCAGGTATACCAACTGAACCAGGCCAAGTATGTATATCTTTCTAGTTGAGGTTTATTTGCCATTGGGTCTACAGTGCAGGGACATTTCTATCTCGCACTCCTCTGAAATGCAAAGATAAGAATTGGTTATCTCTGCATCCCTCTGAGATGCAAAGATAACGTCTCGAGGGTTCATAGCGAAAATCAAGAGTTCAAGTGATGATGGGTCAATAACCGAACGACATTGTTTATGGATAAAACTTATCAAATAAGAACAAACTACTCTGAATCTATTTTAGATGGATAAATGCATTTAAATATAATATCTTATTAATTAAGAATAAACCTCACCATAGAAAGATATAGGATTCATCATGGCTCACTCGTGGATGATCGGATATCTTTTCCTCGCGTGTTACAGAAAAACCTCGCTCCTTCGTCGCTCGGTTTTTCAGTAACCCGCTTGGAAAAGATATCCTTATCTTCCACTCGGAGCCATGAAGAATCCTCTATGTATATTCGGTTGAAAAAATCATGCGCCAGAAGTTCAATGACAATTAACACATCAATGTAAGTCTCACTAAAAATTGAAAGTGCGTAAACCTAGTCGATGTTTTTACATTACGCGATGACTACTCGACAATATTGACACCAGTGAAACTAATCGACCTGTCATCCATAGAAGGTGTCATCCATGTGATCCAATAACGGTTAGGGACCTTCGATAGTGCCGTCACAGCTGCCGGTATCATGGATGAGAAATATTGATTGATTGATTGTTGAGTAGGTGCTTCGGTCCGCGTGGACCATTTCGCACCATAATAAGTTACCTATTTAAGATGGGAACGTGAAGATAGTTATTTCTAGAGTCTGTCGAGGAGGTCTATTGTGGAGAGAAAAGAGAAAAGAAGCTTGAGCAAAGCGGAATGTTCGTCTCCTAAAATAACAGACATTGTCATTGGCACGCCTTGTGCCCGACAGTAGTCTTCCATTGGTTTCCTTTTTCTAGCGTGATTTAAACAGTGTAAGACAATGTGTTCGATGGTGAGTGTTGTCCTGCATCGTAAACATACAGGTCTTGGTTGTCGAGAAAAAATGAATGCATGAGTGAGATATGTGTAGCCGTAGCAATTACTGCGTATATTTCTGTGGCATGGCCCCGACTCTGTCTAGACGAGTGGTGTGGCCGGTCGCGGCGCCCGGGGCCCTGTGACGTATTGGACCACGTGACCTCGCCGAGACCGGGGATGCGCGGGCCGATGGCCGGCAGAATGGTGCTGGCCTTGATGCTGGAGTGACGGCCAATACAAATGCAGTGAGTGACTCCGAATGTGAGAGTGCGGCAGTGCAGTGACTGGCTACATTTGGTGGCAGCGGGTCCGGACAACGCTTTTTCGGACGCCTGTACGAGACCAGTTTGTCTCGTGCCTTCTGCGATTTTCAGCGCTGCATGTGTCGTGTGTCGCCGTCTGCACTCCGCGATCACTCGTGACGCTGCCTGTCGTCTTCGCTGCCGAGTACCTGGTGGCGACGCGTCTGTTGGTATCTACTGGTGGCGACGCGTCTGCTGGTGTCTGCTGGTATCTGCTGGTGGCGACGCGTCTGCTGGTGTCTGCTGGTGGCGACGCGTCTGCTGGTGTCTGCGCGTCTGCTGGTGTCTGCGCGTCTGCTGGTGTCAGCGCGTCTGCTGGTGTCGGCGCGTCTGCTGGTGTCTGCGCGTCTGCTGGTGTCTGCGCATCTGTTTGTGTCGGCGCGTCTGCTGGTGTCGGCGCGTCTGCTGGTGTCGGCGCGTCTGCTGGTGTCGGCGCGTCTGCTGGTGTCGGCGCGTCTGCTGGTGTCGGCGCGTCTGCTGGTGTCGGCGCGCCTGCCTGAGCCCTGACTGGTGTCTGCGCGCCTGCCTGACTGGTGTCTGCGCGCCTGCCCGACTGGTGTCTGCGCGCCTGCCTGACTGGTGTCTGCGCGCCTGCCTGACTGGTGTCTGCGCGCCTGCCTGACTGGTGTCTGCGCGCCTGCCTGCCTGGTGTCTGTGCGCCTGCCCGACTGGTGTCTGCGCGCCTGCCCGACTGGTGTCTGCGCGCCTGCCCGACTGGTGTCTGCGCGCCTGGCCGACTGGTGTCTGCGCGCCTGCCTGCCTGGCGTCTGCGCGCCTGCCTGCCTGCCTGGTGTCTGCGCGCCTGCCTGCCTGCCTGGCGTCTGCGCGCCTGGCTGCCTGGCGTCTGCGCGCCTGCCTGATAGGTGTCTGCGCGCCCGCCTGCCTGGTGTCTCTGCCCGGCGGCTCGTCTACGGACGCTTCTAAACAACCGGTAGGTTCAGCCCTGCAGTTTTTTTTTACCACCCGTGTCCTTTTAGTGTTTTGCTGTGCAACCTGTCATAATGGATGAAAAACCATGTTCTGTGTCGCCCGGTGCCACATCGGGCCCTGTAAATGTGGGGATGCCTCGATTTTCGGGAGAGGGATGTGTTCGTCGTTTTCTGGATGATTTTGATCGGTATGCTCGCCTACAGTACTGCACTGATGAGCGGAAAGTAGATATCCTTCCACTCTGCCTTTCTGGGATCGCCAGAGACGCGTTTGACGCTCTGTCCAGGGAACAGCAGCGGACGTTTCAATCGGCTGCAGATGGTCTCCGGGCTGCTTTTTCGCAGCGCAGTGCCATTGACTATCACCTAGCCTTGCGAGGCCTGCGATATGATCCACGTGAGTCACTGGATAACTTTGTAATCACGTTCCGCAAGCATGTGGCAAATGCGTTTCCCAACCAGCCTGCGGATGGTCAAGGCGAGCTACTCTTTAACCATTTTCTGTCTGCTCTGCCTGATGATTATTATGCGGCTGTGATTGCTGACGGTATCACCTCGTTCGATGCCGCTGTCGCTAAGGTGCGAAACAAGCGCAATGCTACCAAAGGCGTTCCGCATGACGCCTCGGTGCGTTCTCTAGCGGTAGGGGGCGACGATGAGTCCATAATTGCTCAGTTGCAGCGCCGTATCGCGGAGCTCGAGTCACAGCTGCAAAACCGGCCAGTGGGGTCGCGTGGTGCTGGCCCCCGTCAACCGCGAGACTGTTTTGCTTGTGGTAAGTCTGGTCACATGAGGTGGCAGTGTGCCAAGCGGGACCATCGTTGTCAGCGGTGCGGGTCCCTGGGGCATGTGGAAACTGTTTGTGGCAGGTACCCTCAGGCGGAAAACTGGCGGGGAACCGTCCCGGGGTCCGGGGTCGGGTCCCGCGATCTGACGCAGGGCCAGCCGACGGCGTAATCACGTTGCAACCGGATATGACATTCACTGCGCTGTTGAACGGAGTCAGTTGCACATGCTTACTGGACACTGGCAGTAACATCAGTATAGTCAATCGTTCGGTGTTTGACGCTCTCCCGGGCCGGCCGTCGCTGCGCAAAACCACGGTGCGTGCCAAAACTGCCTCTCTGGATGATCTTCCGTTGTTGGGAACAACCGTCTTGTCGTTTGATTTTGGGGTAACTTGTGCATCGGTTCCTGTATTTGTATCGGGGTCCATCGATGTGCCGTGTCTCCTTGGGCTGGACTTTTTACGTGTGTGCCCGTGCGTCATTGATGTCCGACGGAGCCGGCTGGTACTGACGCCAACAGCTGCTGTGCGTTCGGTGTCGGCCGAAGCCGTCTCTGTGGGGAATGTGGTGGTGAGTCGTGACACGGTGATATATCCGGGTGATGAGGTACTCGTACGTGGTTTTGTGTCCCGCTGTGACTATCGTGGCCCAGCTGTTGTGCAACCCCAGCTGGAGATTGTGGGTCTTGAGTTCGTCAGTACGCTAGTCGAGGTGTCCGGGCCATCCGTACCTTGTGTGGTTCGGAACATAACGACTGAACCGATATCGATTCTTAAACGTAGTGAATTGGGGCAACTTGAAGTGGGGTTTGCTGAGGAGATTGCGGACGCGCCCATTAGCCCTCACGGTAGAAATGTTTGTGATAAGTTTGATTTGAACACAAGTGGGCTATCTGATGAGCAAAAGGACCAGGTAAGGGATGTACTAAACAAACACGAACAGATGTTTGACGGACATATTGGTTTTACCACCCTAGTTAGCCACAGCATTGACACGGGTGACAGCCCGCCGGTGCGTCAGCCACCGAGACGCATACCTACCCATCTTGCCACTGAAGTGAAGGCGCAGATAGAGGATCTTGTGAGACAGGGTGTGCTGGAGGAGTGTATGGGAAGCTGGGCTTCCCCGATCTGCCTGGTGAGACGGAAAAACGGTAAGATTCGCATATGTGCGGATCTCCGGCGGCTCAATTCCGTAACTCGACCATCATCTTATCCCATTCCTCGTGTGGATGAGTCACTTGAAGCGCTATCAGGTTCCAACATGTTCTGTGTCTTGGATATGAATAACGCGTATTTTCAGGTGGGAGTGGATCCGGATGACAAGGACAAAACTGCCATAATCACTCCTTTTGGCTGCCATCGCTATTCTCGGATGCCGTTCGGCTGTTCGGGGGCCCCTTCCACGTGCGCTCGGCTGCTCGATGTGGTGCTCAAAGATGTGCCATCTTCCAGTTGTGTTCACTATTTTGACGATGTGATTGTTCATGGTTCTGATTTTAAAGATGTGCTTGCCAAACTAGACTGTGTTCTGACTCGTTTGCAGGATGCTGGTCTGACATTGAACCCGGAAAAGTGTGAGTTATTTCGTTCCAGCGTCACATTTTTAGGTCATGTTGTTTCTAGTGAAGGAATTGGAACCGACCCAGAAAAGGTTAGGAAAATTTTGGAGTGGCCGCAGCCGTGCAATGTGAAGGAACTTGGTAGTTTCCTTGGGTTGGCATCTTACTTCCGCAAATATATTCCTCACTTTGCAGAAGTGGC